AAGCCAGTTTTTTTTTCCAACGTTTAACAGGTACACAAACGCCTGCACAAGAAGAAACTACATGACTTACTTATTTTACAATACGAAAACCAAGACTCTCGATACTTAGAATCAATTGTAACGTAGGGGTAATAATCTGTATGCCTTATTTAAAAAAAATTTCCAACTTGCACAGCTAGCAGTACACTTAAACTGAATGGAAATATTGGTAATCTTTGAGCCCTTTCGGAGTTCTACACAGTCTACACTAGTGTGCAAAAATTAAGGACGAGACGGTTTTTTTCAATATAACTTTGTACAAAAGCTTTCCAAATCAACACATTTAATACCGCAAGATCCCCAATGCGTAAGGACATGAGTAATGTAAGCAACACTTACTAAAAGAGAAATCAGAGGGATAAAAAGAAGCTTTATTGAAAAAGTAGCATGGAGCGCAATGCGACTGAAGGCCGAAAAATCCCTGTGATGGGTTCCAGCAAGAAACATCCGGTCTTTCACAGCGTCTGCCCATGCTGACAATGCGGGTGTCAATGAGTTGTTGAGGCATTGCTGCCCATTCGTCTTGCAGCGCCAATCGAAGCTCCGTAATCATTACTGGTGGTAAGGTACGAGCTGCCAAGCGTCTGCCTAGAAAATCCCATACATGCTCGATGGGATTGAAATCCGGAGATCGTGCCGGCCAATCCATGCGTTCAATATCCTCACTCTCTAAGAGCTGTTCGGCAGCTACTGTGCGATGACATGGTGCATTGTCGTCCATGAGAAGGAACTGCGGACCCACAGCGCCTCTAAAAAGACGCACATATGGAAGAAGAATCTCGTTACAATAACGGGTCCCGTTGACTGAACCTGTGTCGAAGATGTGAAGGTCTGTACGACTACCAAGTATGATGCCTCCCCAAACGAGAACCATACCAGTCCCTTTCAATGATGTTCGAGGGATGATTGCGGCTTCCCCGCTCTCTCCAGATGAGTATGCGATGAGAATCGCTACTCAGACTGAATCTGCTCTCATCTGTAAAGAATACTCGTCCCCATTCATTGTCTCTCCAATTCCGGTGTTCCCGGCACCACAGAGAACGCCTTCTCCGATGGGCAGGCGTTAGAGGTACACACCGTGCAAAGTACCGTTAGAGGTACAGGGCGTCGTGCAAACAGACCACCACCGTGCAGTCTTCTGGCCACGGTAAAACGCGATATCGGTCGTCCAGTCGCATGTGTCCTGTGTCTAACGATTTCTCCCGCTGTCTGCTGCCTGTTTCTTCTGGCCTGTAAGGCAATATACTGGTCATCTGCGGGTGTGGTTCCTTGTGGACGACCACTACTAAACCCCCGGATAGCTGTTCCTGTAGTTTGAAATTGTCTCCAAAGTCGTGAAACGATGCTGTGAGCAATTCCGAAATCTGCAGCCACACTTGTCACACTGCGGCCTTCCTCCAACTTCCCAATGATTCGACCTCGGGTAAAAGCATCCAAATGTCGTCTAACAGATTGATTATTCGCCATTTCTCGCTGAGGCAGCAACTCGGTGTGATTTTAACTGTTACACGGCGTGTATACGGCTTTGGCAGAAATACTTATCTTACACCGACAACATGCTTTATACTACTCAGACACTCCCCCATTACGTCTACCTGCATATCTGCGCATGTGCTACCGTACATCACCTTACTTAATCTCCTGATTGGTCTTTCTGTCCGCTCTACCTCTTCGTTCAGCTGATATGCTAATTTTTCGACTTCGTCCTTAATTTTTGCACACCAGTGTATATGCTTATGAGTTTTAGCTAACAATTTAGACTGCATAATGGGATAAAAATTATTGTTCCGTAATTAAAATCCATATTAACATATGCCATGTTTACATTACTTGTTATAGTTTACGTCAAGAAGGTTAGTTATTTCGTTAGACTAAAGAAATCCGTTCGTTAGTTTAAAAACTCTTAAAAGCTCGAAAAAAAGTAGTTGAAGAATAAGTTACGCATATCAAAACTGAGATTGCTTTATAGAAAATACCTTCACAGAATCTTTTTAATATTAAAAAAATGTTCTAACATGTAGTTTCAGTACGTATACATTTTGGTTGGTCTATTTATTAAAATTTTAACAAAGGAATGAATCAATAATGTGCAGTACATTTTGATTCTACTTCGAATTATTGCTATAAATTAAAAACTTTCGTTGTTGTACCGGCAGTTCATATTGTTACGGGTATGGTATTTAAATAACTAATGTTAGTAGAATTATAAGCTAAATTGTTTTATTCCCTGTGCAGTGCAGCGCGGGACGAATATTATGAGAAAGTTAAGCCGAAAAATTAAAAAAAAAAAAAAAAAAAAACAAGAGCATATGCATTTAACATTTAATAAATAAATATCTCTTTTTGATTTCGAGAAAATAACAGAAAATTCTCGCGCATTTAAAGAGAATATACAAGTGGCATGAAAACCTCTCAATTTAGTTAGTTTGCTGTTGTTTTAAGAGTTTGTTTAGAAAACTCCTCTTATTGACTGTAGCGAATTCGCGAATTAGCTTTCTCTAGCTGTTTTGAATTAGGTTCTTTTGAACGTTTGAGTAGTTAAAAGATAACTACTGTGAGATATTGTAATACTGCACAAATATTCGAGGAACTTTAAGCATTTTTGTTGTGATAATAATACATTTTGTTCATTTTTCATAAGAAATGGGGATATGGAGCAGTTTCGCCTTCAGATGCTGAGGCAGAGAGAATACAGAAACTCTGCTTTTATGCCATATATTCATGGATGGAGTGCTTTATGTACAAACAGCTACAACAGTATGGGTAAAGAGTCTCATTGCGTTAAATCTCTTATCTATACATGAAGCAACAGCCTGATATTCATCTGTACATGCAGCAGCTCAGCATTTGCGAAATTGTGTAAATCGTGACGAGTATCCAAATCACGTTCGCTAGTGCTTCGGGATACAAATTTTGTAAGGTTTCGAAATGTTTAAAAAGTACTAAAAGTTTGTACTACTAGTTTTAAGTTTTCTCCTTATTTTATAATTATAAGATCATGTGATAATAATAAATTTTGTTCATCGGACTTGTGCATTCAATTCATAACGAACCCGTACGCACGCAACAATATCCATTTTCGAAATCTTATATTTTCAACCACTCAGTAGTCTATAAATTCCTAAGAGTTTGCAATATTTATTAGACATTTCAGAGTGGAAAATACAAAAAAAAATCGCTGCAAAATTTATTAAACTTTTCAGAGCAGAAAATACACAAAAAATTAGGTATGCCTTCTCTGGGATAAAAAAAAAAACTAGCTATGCCTTCTCCGAGAAATTAAAGATTGCCCGATGCCAACTAAATGGACGTGGCACCAATTATACCCCAAAACCGAAGTGGAGAAAGCGAAATTCCTTATAACTTTTTTAATTTATGCATAGGTATTTTTTTTCTAAAATCTTACTGTAGTAAATGAGGAAAGAAAGTGAGATTTTCCATCAAAGCATTAAAGAAATGGAAGAGAAAATACCAAAGTTCTTGGAATATTAAATGTGCTTTACGATTACTGCTGCGTGTAGCGCTATAGAAATCCTTTATAACATAAGAAAAAGAATAATAAACTTAAGGTAACAAAATCATGTTTCAGCATGTTGGAAAACTATAAATTGAGCAGAAATTAAAAAAACAGAAATTCGTAAATTCAAAATCTTTTTCCTGTGAATTGCATGTCCTTCTTAATAAGCAAAGTAATGTATTTTAGGAGTAAGGCAGTAAACTAGAGGGCGACGTCTTATGAAATGATTTGAAATTCTGTGCATAATTTAGTGGGAAATAGGCAGTAATGAAACAAATCGTTTTCGTTAAGGAGTTTTTTTATGCTGTTGCAAGTTCTTAAACGAAAGTCAGAAAATATGAACAAAATTTTCATTTGCTGCAGTTCTACTCTAGTACTATCAGTATAGTTTACATAGAACTGTTCAGTTTTATACAAATTTTCAATAAAACAGCACAAGTGTTTTAATTTCTCATCATAAATGTTTTCCAAAACCGTTCATGGCTACAATATAAAAATATCTTTTACATTTCGTTTGGCAATTCTATATATGCCAGTATATCCTAAAGTTTTTCCCTTATCATTCACATGCCGTGGTTTATCACCACTCCCATGTAAGAGAGGGAAAAAAGGAGTAGTGTCTTAGAAGAAAATAATGTAATAGTGAAGTGATAATAAATATACATATATAAATATTAAGAGTTAATTAATGATTATAAATTAATTTGAAATTACAGGTAAATGTTATGAATAATTATAAAATAAGAGAAAACTTTAAATTAGTAGTACAAACTTTTTGTACTTTAAAACATTTCGAAACCTTACAAAATTTCTATCCCGAAGCACTAGCGAACGTGACCCAACCTTTGGTTACTCCTCACGATCTACACAATTTCGCAAATGCTGAGCTGCTGCATGTACAGATGAATATCAGGTTACTACTTCATGCATAGATAAGAGAATTAACGCGATGAGACTCACTACCCATACTGTTGTAGCTGTTTGTACATAAAGCACTCCATCATCCATGAATATATGGCATAAAAGCAGAGTTTCTGTATTTTCTCTGTCTCTGCATCCTGAAGAGGCGAAGCTGCTCCATAACCCCATTTCTCCTTAATACAAACAATGACTATGAAAAGCTATTAGTTTCTGTGTTCTCTCTGCGCTTTTACAAAAACTTCTTATAGTTCTCGTATTTATCGGCAGCACCGCGGGTCCTAATTATGTATATATATATATTATGTGTGTGTGTGTAAGAAGTTATAGACAGATAAATAAATAATTGCAGGTATGTAGATTGTAAATTATAGTTTCTTGAAACATTGATAATTGCTAACTCATAAAAAATGCTATGATTAATTCACTAATTCCAGACGACTGAATTTAAAAATTTCCTTTTATTTCATTTTAATTTCTATTCGTGATAATATGTGTCATTATTAAAATGAGCTTTGATTTTCAGAAAATGCAAGAGATTGTGAGTACTATCTTTTCTGAAAGTCAAGTTGATTTGTGGAAAGAAATTCAAGAGGTAGGCTATTTGAATAGTTATAAATATTTTATTATACATGTAATTCTAAAAGAAGGGAAAGACCTACTTTATATTTCTTTAAAATAAATTTGTTTAAAATTAAATCCATTCGAAAGCTGAGTCTACTTAGTTATAAAGCTGAATTCCTGTTCTTTTTTTTTACATCTAGTTACTGCTTCTCAGTTTGTGATTAGGCTAAAATTATCGTTTGGCCGTTTTGAAATGTATTTTAGTAATGAAACTTCGTTTAATTAAATAACAATAATTTGCTGCTTGCAATGAAATGTTGCTGAAAAATAGCAGTCCATCTTTAGTAATAGCTAAGACTGTGTTCCCAAATATAATTTCATATTATACACTCTTAAAAATGTTTATCTAAATGAAGTTAGTGGGTGAAATATTTTAGCACTGCTTTTAATTTTTTCAAATATATTATGAGTAGATGAATTAAATTAGTCTCCTGTAAATGTAACTATAATTATAATAAAAGAAATATTAGTAGCAATTCAAGTTTTATATTTTAAAAATTATATAATTTTAGAAAGTACAAATTCGACTCTATCTCATAAACAAATTCCTACATGAAAAAGTTATACATTGAAATGCAGATGAGTAATTATAAATAATCGAGCTAGGGCAACTTGAAGGTAGCAAAAAAAAAAGAAATGTGATTTTTCTAATATGAAACAAACAAAAAAGTAAAAAGAAATGCAATTTAAATTGTGTTCCCAATCGCCTTTAATTTACAGGCTAAAATTTTCAAATTGGAGATTAAAATTTACGAGCTAAGACTCTTTGAGTGAGGCTCAGAGTTTCCAAATAAAAAAATCCTTAAAAATGAAGACTCAATAAAAAGGCGACACAATGATTTAAAAAAATGACGAGAACAATTTATTTACATAAAAAAAATTAAATAATAAAAACTAGAGGACAGAATTTAAAAAAAATTAAACGGATGAAATTAAAATGTAAATAAAATTTTAATAATTTTGAAAGATTTATTTAATCTATCCAGGAGTTAAAACTTTCCAGATATATTAACTATTTACCAAAAACTTTGCTTCTTTTTATCATTTTATCAGTTTTATAAATTTCATTTTTTTTATCATATGTAACCAATTTATTTTCATGAAAAGTGCCTTTAATTCCTTCACTGTTCATATCTTTCAGTCTATTCATAGAATCATCTGTGTTTAAAACTTGGGAAACAATAAAAGCTTTTTTTCATAAATGTAAAATGATAGCTCCTAGTAAAAGCAAATTTGAATTTAGGATTTCGAAAAAAAGCCTCCTAGGCTTGATGAATGATGGATGCGTTTTTGCGTCTAAAGCAGAAGTATAATTCTTTAATACTTGTCTGATCATTGTCTAATTAAAGCAATCATCGTATACAATTATGTTCTTTTTATCTGGGCATAAATCTTTTAACGGTAAAAATTCTTTTAAGTCATCTATTTCAAAGAATTTTTTTTCTTATATTCATTATATTTTTCTAACAACTGTTTTTGTAGTTTTTTATCGTTATAAAATTTATGATATGATTTTTATGATGCTCTCTGAATACCTTCTAATCTTTTAAATTTTCTAATTAAATCCGAATATTCATCTTCATGATGATTTTTAACCGTATGTATAATGCATCGTAATTCAAAAGCTACCGAAATAAATTTATTAAAATATTTTTTTCCCAATCAAGATTCTTCTACAATCACACTGAGAGGGTGGATGAGTGATTGGGATCTGTTATCAACTCTGTTTTGTTATAATTTTTTATTTTTGTCATTTAGAGAAAGAAAGTTTTGCTTCGTGCAAATTTTATCTTGTGTGATGCAAGTTTTATTTGATTATTAACGAACGATAATAAAAAACAAAACGAAAAAAGAAAGAACAGCATGCAAAAGATTTTAGAGGCCATAATATTACAAAAAGAAATTAGGCTGAATAATGAAGATAATTTATAAAGGAAACTCAAATACCATTCAAAGTGTTCATTCAGAAATTTCATAAGCTTGTTATTGATGCAATAGAGAGAAAGCCCGTACCTATAAAATAAAATTCTGTCAAAATCATAGAAGATATTGAAATATTTCTGATGTTTGATTTGAATAAAGATTTAGCTATTAGTTTTTCAGACGAAAATAATTTAGATCTGCCTTCAGAATATTTTACTGCTCTTTTAAGGAAGAAAACATTGCTCAAATAATTGAAAAAGCCAGCGATCTAAAAACAAGATTAGGTAAAGAAAGAAGCCAGTTGAACAGCCAGATTTCTCGGGCGGCAAAGGATAATGAAAAGACTGAAAAGATACTGAAATCGACTGCAGAGGATACTGAAAAGATACTGAAATCGACTACCGAGGATAATGAAGAGTTTTGACGATATTGGAAAAATTATATAAAATAAGGGATTCTTTAAAATTACTGACCAGTAAGAACTTAGGGAAAAAGTTAAATCTTTTAAAAGAGCTAACTCAAAAAAATTCTAACGGTTTTGAATGAAAAAAAAAACAGATAATGATGTTGCTTGAAAACTTGCTAAGAAATAGGAAAGTGAATAAAGATTTTGTGTAGGAATATTATAAAAAATTTCTTTCCATATAAATCAGACATTACTTTAAAATGATAGCTTATCTTTCTGATTGTCAAAGAAATAACATGCGAAAAGCATTTGAAGATGAAAAAAGTGTTTCTTTACAAATTCCAAATGAAGAGGCAGCTAGTTTTGATATACTTTAACAAATCTCAAATAAAAACGAAATCGAAATCAAGAAAGAGTAATTTTGAGCGAAGATCAAGTACATCAGATCAAAGGAGGATTTCTTCCCTTTCTTATTTCTGCTTTTAATAGCAAAAGCTGCAACTTAAGGCGCGATGGGTGCAACGGCAGTTGTCGGTATTAAGAAGCTTCTTGGATCTGGAGCTGTCTCAAAAATACGTAATCCCGAGTTTCTATTGGCTTTACAGTACATAATATATAAACAACAAAGAAGATGCTCAAACAAAAACAACAACAAAAAACAATTATGGAAAGAAAGTGTTATCAAAACTGAGAATTTCCAACAAAATGATCGAGGATAATTTAAAAAATTAAAAAGGTATTAAAAGAAATTTTACTTCAGATATACAGACCAAAATGATGAAAAAAAAATCGAAAATACTTTTATCAATTTAAATGTATCTACGGGGGACGATATCCATTGGCTTTGTTATTATAACCATCTGAATTATATTTTTGTTGAATATTTTAGCTCTTTTGATGACTAAATGAAATTAAAAAACGTATAGTAAAACATCTTAAAATGTCAGGAAAAATAATAATATATAATGCCAGGTTTTTTTTTTTTTTTTTTTTTTTTTGTTTGTTTGTTTTTTGGTTGTAAAATCCTTTATCTGTGAAGTGCGGCTTTTATAGTATAAGATACATAACCGAAGAAAAAGAATAAGAGTGAGGGTACAAAGTGAGAGGTTTCATTTTTGAACTAAAATAAACATAATGTTACGAATTTGGTATTTAAAAAGCTAATGTTAGTTCAATTATAAATTAAATGGTTTTATTTCTCGCGCAGTGCAGCGCGTGACGAATATTAAAAGAAAGCTAAGCCGGAAAAATTGAAAATACAAGAGCGCGAGCATTAAATAAGTAAATATCTCTTTTTGATTTCGAGAAAGTACTACAAAATTCTAGCGCGTGATTTTAAAATCTTATAAAATGAAGAAACATCTCAGTTCGTAGTATTTGCTTAGTTTGTTGTTGTTTAGAAAACTGCTCTTGTTGATTGTAGCGAATTCGCGAATTAGCTTTCTTTAGCTGTTTTGAATTACGTTCTATTGGGCATTTGAGTAGTTAAAAGATAACTACTGTGAGATATTGTAATACTGCATGATAATTTGAGAAAATTTAAGCATTTTTGTTGTGATAATAATAAATTTTTGTTAATTTTTCATCGGACTTGTGCATTCATTTCATAACGAACCCATACGCACGCAACAATAATAACACTTATCCATGATCTTTGGAGCTTTTTGAAATTTCAGGGCCAAACCCTAAACGCCCGAATGGTAAATTCAAAAGTTAAACTACAAGAATCCATTGTTGACTTAGATCATCTACTTAAGATTAAAAAGTATCATTCTAGAGATTCATCATGTTGGTTCCTTGGTATAAGTGAAAATAACGGAAATAATACCTTTAAATGCTTTGTTGGATTTCGGTGATTCGGTTTCAATATTCCGGATGGAAATTAAATAATTATAGAATTGAACGATTACCTTGAAAGACTATTTCTTTTAAAACTTGGAAGAAAAAGTAGAGAAATATGAGCTACCCTTTCAATTTGGTATCCTAAGAGCTAGACAATGATATACTATCAAATTACTGAATGGATATAAAGTACTAATCTGTAAGTAAACTTCGTAAAATATTAGGATTTGAAAGCAAAATTTATGAAAAAGGCGAACAAGAAGGAGAACACTTCGGTGACATATCGAACGGAAATAAGAATATCTACATTTATTGCCATATTTCCAAGGGCTCTTTAATCAATAATAAGATGTCGGATGTTATTCTTTCGCATACAAATAAATACAAGGCAGTCAAATTGCAGAAACGTTTGATAAGCCTATATTTTCTAATGTAAAATATAAAGAATGTAAGAGCATTACGATAAAAATTGCTAATCAAAAGAATGAATTATTAAACCTGAACAGTCAAGAAATGAATATAATTTAATATTTGAATCAGAAAGGGATATTTAGAAAAAAATTCAATTTATTTTTAAAGTTTAATTCTGTGTTAATATATCATCATAGATATTATGGAAAGAGTAAAACAACCCAAGGAAGAGAGTTTTTTAAAGATATTTTAAACGAGATTGGAAATGAAGCATTAGGACAAAACTAAATCTGTTATTAATAGAGATATAAAGATTTATGAACATTAAAAAACTGAAAAACAATAAAGTGTTGATCTCAAAGACGAAAAAGCAAAAACAGAATTTTCGCTCAAGAGTTCAGATCTTTGTTTTCTATTTTCAAACAGTTTTCTTTATCAAAGACTTAAAACTGTAAAGTCAGATGGTTCTCCCATTACGAATGACCGTGCAACATTTATTAATGGATTGGGTCTAACAACAAGTATTTAGAAATAGAAGGCCATTGAGAAAATTACACCAAAACACTGCCCTGACACTGTTACAAGCCGGGAGCTTTAAAGATTTTATAACATATTATGCGAATTCTGAACCTACTAATGCTTTTTCTACTAAGGCACCTCCTAATACAGATACTCATTTTTAAGGTATTCTGAAACTGTTATATTTTACTAAAAGAGTAAAACTGAGTAGTTTCAAATTGGCAAGCGATAGAAATTACGATATGGAAAATAATGTTTTATTCAACAGTGGAAATCAGAAAAACAAAAAAGATGTCACAAATAAAGAGTTCGTTTTAGAATATATAGACGGCAATTGTTTAAAAATTACAGACACTATAAAAGCAAAAGGTAGAAGAATTGGAAACATTAAAGATCCCATTGAACTAAAAACTATTCTCAATAATAGGTATTATTTGAAGACAAAAATAAAAGTAAACACTGAAAAGAATGATAGCGTTTCACAGTGCGAAGAAGAGTGTTTTTATGTTCTTCCTCCTATAAAATTAACAGATGACGGAAATTATGACCGGAAAAACAAAATTTTATCCAATTGTAGAGATTATGTAAATGAACAAATGCCGCAACGAAACGTTTCGTTTTTAAAACGGCTGTTACATTTTATGCAACTAGCTCTCTTTATTTTACTTTGATGCTTAAAAAACATTGGAAATTCTATAAATTTACATAATTTTCAAATAAAGTATTTCAAACGACGACATAAAATTTCTTAAAGAAGTGCATGTTAAAATTTCATTATTTATAGAATCTTTTGAACCAGGTGCAGTATCTGTTATGTTAATGATTTTAATAATATTGCATTTAGCATGTATGTGAATTTCCAAAACAAACTTTTGTTTTAGAAAAAGTTGGTGAACGTTTGAATATGAGACTAAAAAACAGATCAGGAAATAATTACTCTGTTTAAGTAATTAATGTTTAAGAATTGAATATTTAGAATGGGAGCGCATCCTTCCTTAATATTTTTATTTTCTATTCTGTTTTCTTATCCTATTATGTTGTTGTAAAAATAATACATGTAAATGGAGATTAAGAAATGTAAAACTTGTAAAAATTGAGAAAACTTTAGATAATCTTTATCGAACAGGTAAATACCATCATTCCAATTGTAAAAACTACTGCTCTGTAATTAAATACGCAAAAATTGAGGGTGATTGGGAGGAAATAGAAGCGCAAATAAGGATACTTTAATAGCAATTACCAATTTACAATTTAAAAAATATTGTTGTATATATGAAGTTCAAAAACAAGACAATGAAATAACTCAATATTTATTGAAAAGGAAATTATATCTATAATTATTTAAAACTTAGAAAAAAAAAAGCTGATTTTCCATGGCCAGGCAAAAATTGCTTAACGTTAAACTTGGGCAATAAATCCTTATTTCTCAGACTTTCAAAGATAGTTGTAAAGAATGTTTTGTAGGATCTCTCTTACTGGATGTAATCATAATTCAATTGTTCAATCGTTTTAGCTTTGTATATTATTTTCAAATACGATTTTGGAAAATTTACATCAACACTAATGTTTTCTGTAGTTCTATTCTTGGCATGCTAATCGACTCATTTGTTTCCATATATCTCCGTGTGTCCGCTTACAAATATAAAATATAAAACACTAAAATTCCCTTTTCCTTCTTCTCCTTTGCCCAACAAATTGCTGCATATCAGTAATAATACCGTTGCATGATGAGGCACTTTTTAAGGACTCCAGAGAAGAGAAAGAATCAGTGCAGATTAAGTAACTGAAAACATGTCTAGCCTGGCTAGGTAACCACTTACTGTAAAACTAATACAGAGAAGTTCAGAAATATAAAAAGTTCATTCATTTTTAACACGAAACTGATGGTGTTCAATTCGATACCATCGTCACAGAGATGATATAAGCAAAATCAACTCTGTCATGAGTTTTACTACGTTTCGTATAGCACACAATTGAGAATGAATTTTCATCAATATCCATACCATCCAAAATTTGTGGTGGTTATTTTACATATGGATGATGAAGGGCAGACAAAGGCAGTAGACGATCAAAATGAGAAATAGGGAAAATGAAAAGGCTGTCTTTGTAACTTATGTATTACAGAATAAATACAACCATCGGTGGAATTTCGGCACCAGAGTAAACAGCATTACAGCTTGTAGGAAATTTCCCGTTAACTAACGGTTTTTTATAATTTCAGCCTTTACTATAACTTCTCCTTTCCGTATTCCTCACGAAAATGCAAATGAGTAGCCAGTATTTAAATTGAGATTTTTGGATTTTAAGGCAAAGCGTTTCGTGGTAACTTTCCTGCCAGCTCTGATAGTTGCGATTATCGGCGTTGGCGGTTTTTTTTTTTTTTTTTTTTTTTTTTTTTTAAGCTCCGGTTAGAGTAGTGAGCCAACTTCTAGTATAGAATTAAATTTTGAAGTCTTTTACTACTGCCCACATTTAACTTAAATTTGACTTTCCTATTTAGTTGCATCATCACGAGCTGTGGTTATATTGTAAAACCAGAAAGTGTCTTTGTATTCTGAATTCTGTTTAAATGAAAATATTATTTTTAACCTTCTCACGATTCTGTTGTTGTTTCAGACATAGCGATAATTCGCTTCACGTCTGTTAGGGTTATTGGACTAATTAGCATTTCCAGATCAAGTGAAACCCTACAAACTAATAGTTTGGTAAATTTAATCCACAAAGACATTTCTCTAATTTATTAGAAATATAGAAAACATGCTTTTGTCCTTTAAATTTGCTGCTCAATCGAATACCTAACTATTTCATTTCATTCACAATTATAAGGGGATCGTCATTAAAAACCGATTGATATCCATCACAAATAATATTTCTTCTATTAATGAACATCATCTTTGATTTTGAATTTTTGCATGATTCAATTTCAGCTTAAAATTTATTGACCACTCATAAATAAAATTTAGAACATGTTGGAGGGCAAACGAAAAAATCTCAAGAAATGTATTTGGTAGGTAAAGTATGAAATCATTTCTTAGCATTATAAAATACTTACTCAAAGGTATGATATAATAACCCACACAATCGCACTTCATTTTTCGAAATCAAATCTTTCATTATTTTTAATCACGCATGTCATGAAATATAATATTTATGTTGTAGGAAGGTGAAGATGTTATTGCACTGACAACGTCTGTACAAGACTGGGCGATGTCAAAACTTCTGGAATCAAAGACCTCAGAAAAGAACGTGGATTTGCTCATGATATCTGATAATATCGGCAAGTAACATCTCAGTGTTTCTTGCATATGCTTTTTTTGACTAAACTTTAAATTGCTTTTGAGTGGTTTATATAGAGCTAGTTTCTCAATTAATTTTAGATGACATTTTGTACCACGGATTATCTCAATATTAAACTGGAGATATTACATGACAAAAATAAATAAATAAATAAAATTTGTACTTTGAACTGAATTAATGTTCTGATTTGAAAAAGTTAAGCTATTGTGAGGTATAAGACTTTCATACTTATGAAGAGTTATCGTTTAAATAAATTTTAAAGAACCCTGCTTATAGAAAATTTCCGTATATCTTAATTTTTTGTAATATACAATATTTCAAAAAATATCTCGAAAAAATGTCTGAAAATATATAACATTTATTGAATAAAAAATTTACCACAACACCAGTTTAAACATGTCTATAGAAGTTAGAATTGCTTAGAATCGGCATTTACATTAAAATAAAATTGCAGATGATTCTGACAATAAATGACTCAAATTTTACTGGTAATATAAAATCTTATTCATTACTGTAAGGTCTGATATGTTATAAATTCTGCTGTTTTGAATTTTCATTAAACGAACTTCGACTTCACACGGTGGAAACAATTTCATTGAATCAATGAGTGAATATCTTTCGTCACTAAATCTTATGAATTATGTTGATTGTCTACAGGTCAATAAGTATTTTATAACGTAAATTATTTCACTGCATTGTTTGTTGCATAGAATTTTTGGGGTATATGGAAGATCTTTTATGATTTAAAAATTTTATTTATTCATGTCTTTTAAGTATTTAATTCTTTTTAATTCTGTATCATTTATTAAAATTATTTATAAAGCAACATCAAGATTTTGCTTTTAATGTTTCACGAAAATTACGAAAAAAATAACTAATGACAATTTTCTAGAACCATCTGCGTTTTTTATAAAGCGAATTTCAATGTCCGTTAATTTATATTCGCACCGAAATAGTAACTTTCTTCTTTTTTTTTTTTTTTTTTTCTCCAAATTTATGTACTTGAAACTAAGCAAAGTGATAAGACGGAAAAGAATACGGGGAGGAAAGAATTTACAGTTATTACACTGAAGGTGACAAAAAACATATAGCAGTATATAAAAGAACTTGATACTGTGCTTTAAAAGTCAAATACAATTTGATTTCCATTTATTTATAAATTATTCCATGAAATTACGAGTTTATCACTGACAATCGCACCACTGTTTCTTGCTTAGTCCATTCTAAAATTCCGGCACAAATTTCAGAAATGATATGTAAATACAAATGTACTTTTAATAATAAATTATATGTGTTTGTTCCTTTAGCTACACACAGTGCCAAAAGTAGTCCAAAGGAACTTAAGAAGAAAAATGCTCCGTATATGTACTTTCCGGATTATGGAAAGGATGCCAAATGGAAAGAACTACAGAAGAAATGGAATGACGCAAGGGATCAGATTAGAATTCCAACAGCAATATTTGGAGATTCGGGTGAGAATTATATCCAGTCGTGTTTAACATGACTTTTATCCAAGAAAAAATATTAAGTTCTAATATTTTTTACCATCCTATCAAGAGTAAAATTTATGAATATATGATTAATAACAATAATACATCCTAATTCTTCTCGTTCTTTACTTTGTACTCATTAGTTTACTAAAAGCTCTGTTAAGCGACTTAGCGATTTTCTCTACAGTTCATATAGCTTCTAATTACTTTTTACTCAGTGCACAGGAGAGTTTCCTGTAATGTCTGATGACTAAAACAAATTTTTGTATGCACAATCTACTAAACCATACGGTTATATAAACTTAAAATAACAATTCGTAATCAAAAGTGAATGTTATTATAACTCAGAAGGAATTATCAAAAGAAAAATAATACAGCACAACCCGTTAAGAAGCCTTGTTTTCTCGCTTAGAAAATTTTTATAAATTCAAAATGAAACTTATAAGATTTATTTTTTGTACTCATTTATTTGTATGGATAGCAAGCTTCTGCATATTACGTTTTATCAGTCAAGAGGTCTGAAAGTATGATGCTAACAGCAGGTATTTTCATGAAATTTTACATACTTGGCGTTCTAAAAATATGCAAACAAAATTTCATTTTTAATTTCTGTGAGTTTATTTCCTTTTCATCTTGAAAATACTTCACAGTTATGATTGATATCTTTTGCTGTTTGATTATCAGTCCATTGATATGTTATGGCTAAAATACTATCAAAACACTACGTGACCTGAAAACGAAAGTTTTAATAAATTTCACATGGTTTTCAATTGATGCATCTATTGATTCTTGAACCTCTTTTATCTCAATCTTCCTCTTGCCACTAAGAATCAGAATCACATTTTATCTCCCATAGATTCAAATAGCTCATTCCACATAACGCGTAAAACTGAAACTATTTAATTTTTTACACTAACTGAATTAAATTAACGAATTAACTGAATTACATTAACGTAATTCAAATAACAGGGCATTTATCAGCAGACTGATTATCGCTATATAGATGATTACTTCAAAATTTCAAGAGTTTGCGAATTGTAACCGGTTCTGTGAAGCTCTTTTAATTTACTGTTGCTATTTTGAAAAATAATACTTAAAAAGAAAATACTCTTTTACTTATCACACTTAAAGTGTTTGTATTTGATAACATTCAGAAACAGAATCCAGGTCACAATCAAGAATTCCAGGTCACAATCTGATACTACAAATCTTTGTACTGATTGAGATTCGAATAGTTTTCTCAAAACGTTGTGCTGTAGCACAACAATTTTGAAATTTTTAAGAAGTGCTGTAACTACAATAGAAGTTCGAATCTTTACGTAGTGATCAAAATGCACAATAAATGCGTTATATATTCACATAGTACAAAAATTACGCTGCATGAGATTCCATTAGAATGACTGTTACTGCTGAACTATCTCGTTAAACGGAGTGATCGTAAGGTGAGGATCGTAATTCTGAATTTTTTCTACATCATTCTATCACTTAACGTCGTTCAGCTCCTTGTTTCACTGTGTCTGAAATTTTTGCAACGGACAGGGAAACCGAATAACACGTATGAATCAAATTTTGAGTAAAACTTGATAAATTTGTTACCGAAATTCCTGAAACGCTTTGTAATTAAATCGGACACTTGTTTTTTGAATGGCACTCATGCTTCATGGGTAGTCGAATTTGATTTAAAAAAGACGAGTGTTCCGGGAGCAAAATAACAGAAAATATTGGAAGAATTCAAAAATCCATCCCTCAAGTTCACCTCAAGTTTACAAGGAGATTCTAGTAGGAAATTTGACTCTCAGCCGCTTTGCTTATAAGTTTTCTTTTCTTTCTCTATCCTACACGTTCCCAAACACAACGACGTTATTGTTCCTTACCATCCCAATTCACTTGATCTATCTTGTTTTGTTTTTCAGATTAAAAATATAACTAAAAGGCTTAAGTTTTAGCATTTGCAATGCAAGCGGTCCTCGAGAGTTTTCGGGGAAAAAGTGCCTTTCATAATTCTTTCGAGACTTAAAAAAAATTTGGGATTGTTGTTTACATCCGCAAATAAATTATTTCGGAGTAAATAGAATAAATGTAGAATCTATGTTTTCAACAAGTCCGCGAATTTTTAGACAGCAAGTCCCTTAAGCACGCTGTATTGTCAGCGATCACACCGGGATGTGCCTTTGGTTGTCTATCCATCTGGTGTCAATCCATTTGCATATGAATTTGAATACGTTTTATGCCTGACCCTAATATTTTTATAGTTTTACCTAAAAAAGCACTGTTAGTCTTGAAATGCTATTTTGTGTCGATTTACTATAAGCGGCGTATCATTTTCCAAATTGCTGCCACCAAATATTATCGTTCTGTATCATTTTTAAAGAAAATAATGAAGAATCTGCATATATATATATATATGTTCTTCCTATTGTGAAAAAAAGACAGTACCTACAGCCACCCAGTTCTGAATAACGTAGTTCTCCACCCGAAAATGTGCTCCTGAAAGCACGAATTTTGAATTTCGAATTTAATTTATTAGTTATTTCATATTTGCCATAATTTCAATGAATTTTTGATTAACAAACTGCACGATTTGAAAATGAGAAGTAGCAACACTGTTCCAAATAAAACATTTTTATCTCCAACACGGGAGACTGTTGTCATTCGGAAAAATGTACGATATTTATTTTTCAATTTTAATTAATAAACTCGGCTCTGTAAAAGCAGTGTGTTGCCACTGCTAGAAATAAAATACTTTTATCTTCCACATTCCATAGTGCTGCCGTTCCATAAAGCCTAAGTTACTTCAAATTTAATCCGGAAGATTATTGAGTAATAAAAATTAAGCGATTTAAAGGCAATAACAATTCCCAAGAATACTTTTTTCTACTTTTTATGTGATTGATTTAAATAAGCACATATTCAAATAAATGAGATGTCTAATTAGAAATACTTAAAATTTTTATGAATTAATACTAGCTGGATATGCTAGCTAAAATCATTAGATCCCCCCTTTTTTTATAACTATTTTAGGGCTGGCCGTTCGAGCGGCTAATTTTTAAAGAAATAATATAGTGAATGTAAATATATGTATGGCTGCCTGTAACACTCTCTCGGGTATTCTAAAGATATGCTGTTTTTATATAGTTTCTGATTACGCTTCTAAATTGAATTGTATATGGCGTAAGGGTGAAGAACGTGATGTTTAAGAAAGAATGTTAACACATAAAAGGTTAATAACAAACAGATAAAAAATTAAGAAAACTAAATATTGATATGATGAAATGAAAAAAGTCTGAAAAAATATAAAGTGTATGGCAACACTTGACATTTCATCGAGAATTTTAAACACATGCTGCTATGCAGCTTTAAACACTTTGAAATAATCTTATACGTAAAATGATATTTAAAAGTTGTTAAAAAGAAAAAAAAGGGGGGAGAGCTAGCAGGAGTGCTGCCATTTAATTTGTTGATTATTATTAAAGTTCGCACACAGTGGTATGTAAGTTTTTCAAACGTTAGTGATTAATGAAAACAAAATTCTAACAGCAGTATTTCATAACGTCTTAGAACTGCCATAAAAGCTTTGATTACTTTTTGTTAATAATACCTTGATTTCTTGGTTTAAAGCAAAAAAAAAGTAAATTAATTGCCGTGTTATATTTCTCTTACTGTTTTCAGGTTTCACAAAATTCTTATAATTAATATTTCATTTGTTTTTCATATATATTATTTGAAGTTTATTATTTTCATTTCAGATGAAGCTATCAGTATTCAATCAGTGTATTATAATGCTTTCCATAAGATGGCGCCACTACAAAATTCTATAACGTAAGTTGTCAGATTTGGTATCACAATCTTTCTTCTTTTCTTAAAACAGTATCGATTTCTTTTTATTTCAGTTTATGATTATATATATATATATATAGAGAGAGAGAGAGAGAGAGATGTCAAATTTCAAATGAATATAATATAATTTTTCTCACTGGAACCCAATTTGTTTTTCAGTTTTTATATTCAGTTCTTTTATTTTAAGTGTAATAAAAACAAGAGGCAATTTCCATTTAATTGTTTAGAGAAAGAAAGCTTATACAGTTACAGTCTTAGTAGGCCTTGTTTTAAACAATCAACAAACCAAACAGATTAATTAGAAAATAAGAGAAATTAGAAGTCTGTGATTATTAATTCAATAGTGCGGAAATTATTTGAGTAACTTGCCCTTATCGCATCAGCGTATTTACAATGATGAACCTGTTCAATTTGACTATCTTTTCTGATTGCATAAGAAAACTCATGCACACAAAAAAAAAATCTCTTCTATCAATGTTTGAGGAAATTGGTGTACAAAATTAAATTAATCAGGCGGCATTTGGGAATTAAACTGCCATACCACATTGTTTTAAACTAGAAAAAGGGAATCGTAAAATATCAAATATGCTCTTGCTGAAAATTAAACAGAACTTTTCAGTGCTACAGTAGAAAAATTGATTGAAAGGAAGCATTAGTTTCCTACAGTATTTCACTTAAAGTATAACTCTGAGAAAAAGAATCAGTCAAATTATAGTGGTGAGGAGTTATTATAAGCTACGATGTACTTAACAGGATTTTTTTAAGAAAAGAGAAAGTTAAAACTAACTAGTAGCATTATTTTATCTCAAAATCTGAACAAAGTTATTTCCAGAAAATAATGACGTTGCAATTACTACTCTCAGAAGACTTTCAATTGGAGCCAATGAAAAACTTTAATGATAAAAGCTTCCAAAAATTTAAATAGTTTTATATTAAAAAAAGTATATTTATTAAAAGAAGTAGGCATCAATAAAAAGATTTGAGAAAATTTACTGTGATTTAGGTAAGTAACTTAGTTTATTACTAGAATAAAATTAAAGCGAAAATTATAGTTTATCTTTGATCAAAGCTAAATTAATACATTCAGAATTTATCTTTCCATGGAATTTCTTGTCATTGGTTTGACTAATTGAAAGAAATAAGTATAACGCCACTAATCAGTGCAAAATTTTAAATGCTTACTCTACTAGTTTATTAAAAAGATTGATCAGAATTGATCCGGATTTATAAAATTGTGAGTGTTTAATTAAAAAATAAAAAAATATATTTGCACAAAAAAATTAATCTGATTCAAGAAGGCATATTTAAAGATCAACATATTATTTACTTAGCTTTAAGAACACGTTTTATGAAAAACGAAACTGCTAATCAGAGAATAAACAAAATTGAAGAAATTTAAGATACAAAAATATAGAGGACACATTGGCAACAAATTAAAAATAAAGAAAACTTATATGCGAAATTTGCCTCTTACACTAAAAAATGTAATATTTGAAACGATTTCTAAAGTATTATTTTTTTAACTAAAGCTAGAGTTAAGAAATTTATCGTGCAAAATTGTTGCTCTGAATGCAAAAACGTATTTTGGCAGTTTTGACAAAATCGTTACACTAGTTACCCTGTAAGAAACTATGAAAACAGTACCCTCACCAGAAATCAAATTTGACACTTTCAAATTGCTAGCTAAACCTCTACACTATAATGACACATGAAAGGAAAGCTTTCAATTCCTTATATGTCTATTTAAATTACTCAGCTCCCAGTTTTGTTATTTCTAGCGGTGCGATTTCGTTATATGACTCTTTATTCTTAATACTATGAAACATTTCATTTATTTCGCTATTTCTTCGAAGAAATATTTTCAGTGTTATAATTATCTAACTTCACAGTTTTTTCATTTTTCAGCCAACTGAATTCATTTAGTAGTATTTCCCACTGTTTAAAACAACAGAAGAAATTTTTATTGATGCGATTCTTTTCAAGATTTAAAATTGCGTTTTTTTTTTTTCCTTTAACACTAATTATTCTTTTTCAGAGGTAGCAATGCATCTGGCGTATTCTTGGACAGTAGAGTTATCAGTTTTGATGTTAAACCGACTTACGATAAAGAAATTTTATCATCCGATCCTATCATTATTTTTTTAGAACATAACTATGAGGTAAGTAAAAGCTGCTTAATAGATTTCAATTATACATCCTCATATAATTTTAAAAAATTATTATTTGAAAACTGACATCACATTTCGATATACAGAAATCAAAGTCACTTCGAGGAGATTCTGCTGAAAAAATTGAAGACCCAGAGGTAATTATTAATCATTTTTTTACTTTCAAACTGCGTTATTTTACTTACTTGTCTAATAAAAATAATAATTTTACATTGCTTTACCATTTTACTGGACTAAATCAAGATATTTTTGGTTTAATGTGGCTTTCTGTTTGTATATGGACACTCTGCACATCTGACTATTTAATTTTCCTTTTGATTTAGTCGATAACTTACCTTTATTTTTTGGTAAAATATTAATTATGCGGCTGTGTAAATACAGGTTACTATATATATATATATATATATATATGATGTATCAGCTTTAGTCGTACCTTAAATTATCAGACGATAAGTTTTAAAAAAGACAAGATCCATTTATTATTATTCAGGAGAAATAGCAGTTACAAAATCAGATATCCGGAGTAAATAAAAAGAATTACTAATAACTTTTTGTATGAAGTTTACTGCATCGTGACATTTAAGAAAAAAACCCCGGTATTCTTTTGCGAGTCCTTTTATAGCTTCTGGAAAGGCGGAGCTTCAAAGGAATGACGTCAGCCTCGTCAGCCAATCCAGTTCGCTTTAAATATTTCCAGAACATTCTATAACTGTACGCTATATATGCAGTAAGGTGTATAATAGGCGCGAAAAAACAAATTGACTACGGGACTGTGGATTTAATTCCACGTACTTTCAAATAAGAGAACGTCGCCATTAAAAATGAAAAGAACATACAATTAGAACTTTAAGTGTATTCTTGACTATGGAATTTTATTATTACAAATATATATCTGTATATCAAAGTCTGATTTTTTTTAACCGTACAATATATACAGCTTTTTAATTCTAGATTTTTAAAATTTTATTGCTAGCTTTTAATTTATTACTAAATTTTTATATCTAATATGATCAAATATTCATTACAGAACCTTCATATATATATATTTACAATTCTTCGAATTTTTCACTTCTCTAGTCTTTTGGATCATATTTAGGCATTTTATAAAGAATATTTTCATTAGTATTACAGATTTCAAAAAATTAAAATTTTTGTGCTCTTACTGACAAATTTTTTACTTCTTTTCCGAATTCTGCGAATTATTTATGGAACACTGTTGAATTATTTAAAAGAAATGAACAACAGTTTTGTAGGATGTTTATTATCTTCTGTCTGGAAATATTTTATCCGAGATTTTACTGAGTTAGTTTCTTACTATGTCGACTCACAGCATATACTAATTAAATTTCTCACTGCTTCCATTTTTTTTAAATATTGTACTTTGCGAGGTTTTAGTTTATTGTTTTCTTATGCATTTTAACGAAAATTATTTCAGCAGGTTCAACACTTGAGACAAGAGAATTTGGCATGAAGTTTGACTAAATGATGTGTTGCTCCTGCGACACATATTTTTTTAGTCTAAAAATAGTAAAATTAACTCACTGCTTTTATTATCTTCATTGTTTAATACTGTGTAGAGACATTAAGATTTTTTTTTTTTTTTTTGGAGGCCGGAGAGATGAAAAATTAACAACCGCCTTCGCCCGAAATCGAACCACGGACCTCTGGAATACCGGCAAAGTGTGCAGACCACCACATCACGAAGGCACGCTAGGAAGGCGGGAGAAATACCTTATATACTCCCCCTTTTTAAAGGGTGACTGGGGTTTTTAGGGAACCCAGTCGCCAAATGCTGGGTGAGGAGAATCATCATCCAACACCCTTTTAGTTCGAGCCCACTATAGAGACATTAGGTTAATTGGATGCAGACAAGATGAAAAATGAGCAATCGCCTTCGCCGGGAATCGAACCACGGACCTCTGGAATACCGGCCCAGCGTGCAGAACCACTACACCACGAATGCACGCTAGGAAGGGAGAAATACCTTATAACTGAAGACTTTTGACATTACTCCCTAAAAGGAGAATACTTACTTACTAAGACACCAAACTCTTAAGTTTTGAGGACAGGTAATTGTTTTCTGAAGAATCTCGGTCCTTAAAAGAAACAACCTTTGATCTTACTAAAGAGTACTGATTGTCCTAATTCTGTCTCCAAACCAATCTGAAAGTAAAAAATCTCATAAAGGAAATTTTTCAAAAACTGATACTCAAACTAAAAAGGGGAGGCCAGGGCTGAGAATACTTCCAACAAAGAACTCTTGAAATGTGCTTGACGCCTCAAGATCTTTTACAAACTACATACACACTTTAATGGTAAATGTATCTTTGTTAAGAACATTTTCCGCGTGTTACAGTTCCCGCGTTTAACGTTTTCAAAACGTAATTTCAAAGAGAAGCGTAAATTTGAGATTTTACTATTGGTTAAAGAGATCGGTTGATGAAGAAGATGAAAGGTTAAATAGAAGAAAACAATAGGTTATATCAAGTACAATAACGAAACGAGAACATGTGAAATATCTGATGACTTCAGGTATTTTTTTTTTTTTTTTTGTTTTGCTTGTTTTTATTTGCTTGTTTGTTTGCGCACTATGTATTATTTGTTATTTGTCGTGTTTATTATTTATCAAAGATCATTGAAGAAGGTGGAAATATAAAAAGTATATAAAGGCTGTAAAGCTACCATATGAAAAAATATTTCGCATATCAGTTTAAAGCTCACTTTTCTATAACTTCCTTAAATTCATTCGTCTTGTCCTATTCCTCCTATTGAAATATGCAATAATGCGATGAAGTTATCCTATGTTTGGACTTTAACAATAAGTTTTAGGCTATTAGATCAAGAGCATGGAGTGTATGATCATCTAGGATTTCCTGCTCCTGTTTTCAGTTCCTCTCAGATTTTGTGGGTATTCAAAATGAGTCTTATTGTGAGGTGATCAAAATAGTAGTTCGTTTTGTAAATTTTGTCTGTACGCTCTTTTAAATGTCGTTGTAACTCTTACTTAATTTAATTAAAACTCCCATCTAAACTCTTAAACTATTCGTGTCATGTGGCTAAAAATGTGTATTCTTTAAAAAGTACGCATCTTTTCGGAAACCTTCTTTGCTCTTTCGGAGGTACACTCGGAAAATTTTCTCAATTAGCTAACAGTAATTTATGAGTCTCTAAATAAATTATCAAAAATACATGATTCGGAAATAAGTGCGCCATGTTAAAAATTTTTTCCATAAACTGGAAAAAAATATCCTATTTTTCTATCAAATTTTTTCTGATTTTGAAAATGACTAAAAACTACGCTTTAACTAACTCTTGTGATATTTTCATACCATTTAGCAGATTGAATCCTTATTATGAAGTATCTACTCAACCATCAGTTTGTGCTTATATTTTAATGTATCGCGCACTAATTTTTTGACATTAAACATTCCAGGCAATTTTTTTCGACCAAGACTATTAATTTTCCTCTTACTTTCTCTCATACAAAGTAGTAATAATCTTAATTCTCGCGTGTATAGGTGACTAAGAATATCGTATATAGGTGACTAAGAAGTTTATCTGAAGCTCGAAGAATCTTGAATCACTTTGTCCCGTATCAGAATTAAAATCGCTGCAAATAAAATAGCATTATTTTTAGCATTTCATTGTAATAAGAAAATAAAGACAGTCTCGGGATCATTTATATTAATAATTATATTATTATATTAATATTTTCAGAGACCATTCCTTTGAAATTTAATATAGTCCATCTCTCCATTTAATACTGATATATTTTCTAGCGCTACTTATTGTCATCGATTCACGATAATATTTTTCTGCACAGTTATTTCATTAAATTTTTAAATTTCATGTGTTACTCTTTCGTTTCTTTTTTATTTATTTATTTATTTATTTATTTATTTATTTATTGGTCTCTCTCTCTCTCTCTTAATAGAATTCGAAAATTTTCTCCGTTTTTGTTCAGTTTTTAATCTTTAAACTATATTTAGTGCTATGTAACCTACATAGCACTAAATATAGTTTGCAGTTAGTAAACTGCTGCAAGTAATAAATCACGAAAGCTTAATGGTATTTAATATGAGCTGTCTTTAAGTATCTATTTTCTTCTTTGCAGATCGAAAGGCGAGAATGCGTGAGATGGTCTGATGAACTTGAAATTCCAGAGTAAGTTTTCTTGTCAATACTTCACGTGCAAATTCTGACATAGTCATTTCTTCTAAATGTATTCATTTATTTGTATTTGTAATATTCATTTCTTCTCTTTGTCAGTTTCAACAGTAAGATAATGAACTCAGCCCTCTATATAAACGAAATAGAAAATCAGTATATTCACTGGAGCAGCTACTTTAATCTATTTATAAGGTATTTTCTCCCTCCTCCCAGCAATCCTTCGTGGTGTAACGGTAGCAAACTTGGCTCGTATTCGAGAGGTCCGGGTTCTAGTCTTGGCTAGGGCACTGCACATTTTTCGTGGTTCATGCTTCAAAAATCCTAATGACTCTAAAGTAGAGCCCGTACTAAAAGGTGGTGGACAATAATTCGTCACTAGCAGAATTTGGCGATTGGGTTGCCCAATCTCTAGTCGCCTTTAAAAAGTTGATTATTAGGTATTTTATTCCTTATTCTATCATGCCTTCATGGTGCAACAGTAGCTCAATCGGCTTGTGTTTGAGAGATCCAGGTTAAAGTCCTGACGACGACATTGCTAATTTTTCATGTATTTCTGCTTCAAAAGAACTTAGTGACTCTACACATTATTTGGTGCCGTATTGTTATTAAAGCATGGCAAAAAGTGTAGTAGCATAAATCTTCGAAATCTACATATTGTTAAGAAAGGTAAAATAATGCTATATAGTATTTTTACGGCTATGATGCATTGTGTGGAGACGTTTAGAAAATGGAAGTTTTGTTGTAGCTGTATTTTTTATTAGAACGTTTTAAAATTCCGAGATGTTATTTTCCTTTCTTTTTCGAACTATGGCTTTGTTCGGTAAGCTTCTCTCCTCATGTATGGTTTCAATTTTGGCATATTTTACTTGGAGTCTCCCTGGCTGATGTAGTGGTTGGTGGAGACTGTTCCCACAAGGGTCCTTACTTGGTCCCACCCTCTTCAATATTTACGTGAATAACATTCCCACTACAGGATACAACACTTGCAATGTATGCAGATGACACGGCGATCCTTGCCCAAAGTGCATTCATCGGTCCAGTCATCCAGTGATTACAAAATTACATCTATGCACTACAGATTTAGCTTCTGAAATGGAAGATTCAAGTAAATGTCAACAAAACTTATTCCATACTCTTCACCAGGAAAAGAAAACCGAGAAGAATCTAAACACCTATGGCACCTCAATTCCTTGGGCCAAGCAGGTTCTTTATCTTGGGGTGATCCTCAGCAATACTCTCACATAGTCCCCACACATCACATCAATTATACAGACTTTTCGAGCACGTAAAGCTAGACTCTTCCCCTTAATTTCTCGAAACAGTATTTTATCTATAGATAGAAAAATTACTCATTTATAAATTTTTTTTGCGTCCCATGCCATATTACACAAATCCAGTTTGGGCATATGTCTGTAAATCGAACCGAAAACGCTTGCTAACTGCTCAAAATTGTATCCTACGCCAGCTTACTAATTCCAAATGCTATATTCGTAATAATAGAATATAGGAGGAACTAAGGGTGGTTCAATTAAGAACACATTATTATAATCTGAGTGAGAAACTTCATGAAAGACAGCAACAAATCGACAATTCTGCCATAAAAATTGCAAATTATGATTACAATGACCTAAACAATATAAATAGGCCAATGGCTATCTTACATACTTGAATCGTCTAATTACTCATGTATTTTGCATTCTACACAATTTTGTATCTGTATAATTTTGATTATTCTAATATAAAATTATATTATATATCTATTGTATTGTATTTTGCTCTCGATGCTGTAATTTATATGGTACCTATACCCAAACGGATTCAAAGTGATCGTTTGATTAGCACTTTGCCATATCATATCTTTATTACAGCTCCATTCTACTCAGTTCATAAGCTCAACTGCTATGTGCTTTCCCCCTTTCGTGAAATCTAACTTTATCTTTTTAAAACCAAACTCAAGTTCTACCTAGGACTACCTAGAATTCTACCTAGGACTTACTTAAAAAATTAGTACAATATATATATATATATATATATATATATATATATATAACTATATATATCTTTTCCTAGTTATTTTTTGCCATCTATTCGAAATTTAAGTATGCTCTACAGGGAGTAGGACGTCGAGCCCAGGTACCCTGGTGTTTGACACAGTTCTACTAGAGTAGAAATGGAGACTGACTACAATTCGAACTCCAGGGCGCAGATTTGACTTCCGGGTGAAGCTTAATAGTTTATGTGCGTCCGTCCCTTCTTTTTGTAGTGCACCTGCGGAAAGTGGTTAAACTCAGCCTTAGAATGTATTTTATTTTATAGGAAAATCTTTATTTATATGCATGATATCTGTGTTTTAGAAGTAAATTCTTGTTGAAGAAGAAGGATTATCCAGTTATCATGAATTCCATGGAAAGTTTCTCTAACATTAACTCCAGTAAAATTTCGATTTAATTTTTACATCGATATTCTTGTTTTACATTTAGCTATCTGCACATCTCAAGATGACAAGAATTCTCAGTTTTGAAAAGCTTAAAAATATTAAGAATGTTTGTTGCTATATGATATTTTGCACTGCACACAAAAACTGACAAAATGTATAATTTTCAAAGCATTTAAAGTAAAAAAGCAAAAAGCACTGGCAAAATGAAAAGAAAATTTTCTTGAAATTGAATAAAAGAATTATGTCAATATATAATTTTGTTGCAGTTGAAGTGTCTTTGTTTTCGTAACCGTTAACTAAACCGGTGTATCTACTACCCATTGATTCATATGTTTATTTGGTTTCCTGATTTACATCATGCATAGTCTGACGAGTCTTCATTTGGCATATTTTCTCACACCGTAATGTCACGCCTTGACTTTTCTTCAGGTTTTTCATCCATCTCCAATAAGTTGGAAATCTTTTGTCTTTTTTTTTTAAATCTTGGATGTAAAACTGAGCGTTTTTTCTTTGATTCATTTCAAAGGTAAATTTAGAAGTTCATATTTCTTCAAACATTGAATCAAAACGGATTCCTAAACTGCAAGTTTTCCATTCTGATTTTTTTAATGAATGAATAAAAGAATGACTAACGCAGTTACAGCACTTCCTGATGCCATTTCCTTATTATTGGAAAGTCTTTTCGAGGTTAATTTTAGCAAGTAGAATTTTTAGCTGAAGAATTTTTAATGTCATAAAATCATTTGAGCTGCATGAATGATGTTAACGGCACTGATGTTAAAAGACATTAATAAAATTTTTACTTTCTCAATCTACCTAAAATCTCGAGCTTAAAAAGTCATTTAAAATTGTGTGGTTAATTGTGTGTTATTCTCAATCAATGCCACTCACAAGAAAGTTTTTGGTTTTAATCATTGCACAATGAGTATATATGCAATATCTACATTAATTATAACATAATTATTGATTTTATAACTCACCACACTGATCTTTCGACTTCTGTCACCAAAAGCCAGAGACTTATCATTCACACAGAGGTCACTGTGACTACTTACTTTTCAGCTTAACACTTATGAGAAATATGCTCTACAAAATGAAAAAAAAAAAAAAAAAAAAAAAAAGGATGTACATTTGACGCTTTCGTTCCTCCGATATACAACATGTCAAATGACTGGTGAAGGGTCTGAAGTGTTGCATTCAAATTGGTAAGTAAGATCGGAGGTTAAAATAAACATTGGCTAGTCGAAATTCAAGGCACTCTAACTGCACCTGTTGAGAAAACAATTTCATGTGTTGTATTAAAGATCCTGTACAGAGTAATTCATCAAATGAATCATACTGTACAGACATCATACTGTACAGAGTAATTCATCAAATGAAAGAAGATTCTTTTTATCTAAGTTGGATGTTAATTTTTTTTTGACATATGATTGATAATGAGCTTCAAGTTTCGATATTTTAACAAGAGTACTTAAACGCAATTTTCTCATTCCTTGATCTAAATTTGAAAACGTCATAGCATAACCAAAATTATCATATAAATAAAAATCTCACAACTGAAAGATTATTGTACATTTTATCCTAAAGGAAAGTACCTGGTTTCTTATTTCGATAATCTGGATAACTTCATTTGGTTCTAGGCGATCGAAACTTGGAGGTTGGACATCCGAAGGTTGCACGCAAGTAAATTCTACAGAATATTACACCACGTGTGCCTGCGACAGACTAGGAATATTTTCTCTTCTAGCGATTCCTCCTGTGCCTAAAGTAAGTAAATTTAAGCATGAAGTATGTGAATATATTACGCTCGAAACATGTATTCTTCTCTAAGCATCGGTTTAAGATAGTCGAAGCCAAGCTCACTTAGTTTAAAAAATCTGATGTGTGCACCACATGACTTCTTTGAACGGAATATTAAATTATACTTTTTTTTTTCTTGCATTTCATTTAAACTTAGTGGATTATATTAAATCTACTTCGTCGATAGCGCATAAACCACGATAGAATAAATGCACTCTTTAAAATTCACTCTATTTGTTTACCATAGCGACACTCTGGCCCTAGGTACACTTAACAGCGTTATATTTTGTTCATGTTTTAACTCAGAATGCACAAAATTTATATCATCTTAAGAATTATCTAATCGTTACCACATGTTTTGTTCAAATACTATAATAAATCTAAAACTATGTATAAAAGAAATTAAGCAAAGAACGACAACAACAAAAAATCTGATGTGTACACCACATGACTTCCTTGTACGGAATATTAAATTATACGCATTTTTTCTTGCATTTTATTTAAACTTATTAGATTGAATTAAACCTACTTCGCCGACAGCGTATAAACCACAATAGAATAAATGCATTCTTTAAAATTCACTTTGTTTACCATAGCGACACTCTGGCGCTAGGTTTACTTAACAGTATTATATTCGTTCATATTATAACTCAGAATGCACAAAATTTATATCATTTAAAGAATAGAATTATCTAATCGTTGCCACATGTTCTATTCAAATACTATAATAAAGCTAGAATGAATGATGTATAAAAGAAATTAAGCAAACAAAACAAAAAAGAAACAGTTTTTCACAGACGATTGAGTATTTCTCATTCAATTAATTCAGTTTTCACTTCGCGACAAGGCAAAAATACATAAAAACTCAAAATATCTGTATTAAAAATTACGAAGTAAATCTTAAACGCTTATTTCTTCGAAAAAATTCCAGAAAGGATTAACCATTATTTAAATAATAAATGAAGGCGTTATCTTTGTGTTGCGAAGCTAAGTTTCTCTAGATTGGCAACAAATCCGCTACTCAGCTGTTTCAAATGTAAACAAGAGCAATGGCCACCATCAAATTAGGCTTAGCGGCACTTAAACAATTTTAAAATTGTTGATAATTCTAAAGATATTGCATACAGATTTACTTACATCATACAGGCATAGATTACAGGCATAAAACCCATAACCGGAAGATAAAAACAACATTATTCAATCATTTTTAAAGCAAAAAATGTACAATTTACAAACATATAAGAGTAAAGAAACTGAGATCACTGAGCCGGGTAACAGAGTGGATATATTTATAAATAAATTTATATACATTTGGCGCCGCTGATTGAAACCAAAATACGAGGTGAACATCTACATGTTATAGTAGTCTTATATACAAAATTTCAACGATCTGAGGCTACTCGTTTTTGAGTTATGCGAGATGCGTACGTACGCACGTACGTACATGCGTTCGTACAAACGCCACGAAAAATTCTCTTCAGAATTCATTTTAAAGCAGTTTTTAGTTTTTTTGGAGGAAAAGAGTCTTTTATTCTGTCTTTGCGTACAGATATCACGCAAAAACATCGTTAAATTGCATTCGATAGCGGTGAAAATGGGTATTTGCGTTGAAATATGATGCCTGAAACTTTTCGCTATTACAATACTTCCTTTTTACTTCGTACAAGGAGGTAAAAAGAAAAAATCTGAACTAATTCGAAATATTAATTAAATTATAATATAATAGTTCAATATATATTTTAGTGAAACAGCTTTCTCGATAAATTTCGATATTGTTTAAAAAGAAGTAAAAGAAAGTTTTTGAGTAGCAGTAAAGTTAGGGTGAGTAGCTGATACTTTCTGGCTAAAGACAGAAAAACACTTTCCTTCAGTTTTAGAACAGTTCTTTCCTAGCTCAAATAGCCATTCTTGTTTAGGATAAAATTTGATGTTAAAAAAATTATCGACTTGATTTTCAAATTCTAAATAAAATTTGAGATCTTCATGTAATGCTCTTTCGTGAAAAATTATCGGTGATAGTAAAAGATACGTGAGCGATATTGGTGACAGTAAAAGACTGAAATTTAATTAACCATCATTCTCAAGCATCAAATGATAATGCAGAGCAAATATTAAAATACAAGAAAGAAATTGGTTAATTTCCAGTACACTTTTTCAGAAAAAAATGGGAAGATATGAATATTTCATATATTTATATATATGAATATATATAAATGGGAATACATCACAAATTTCATAAAAAATAGTTGGACATTTCAAATCGCAATATTCATTCATTAAAGAAAATTTTTTTATTTTAAGTACCAAAGCAAGTTTTCAATAACCTCTTAAGAAAGTTTAAACAGTCCTTATAACTCATGTTAAATTTTCTGCAATGGTAAAAGATGGCTAATTTTCTAATTTTGGCATTCTTTATTAGGAGTACGTAGAGCCTGAAGATGAAACTTGGGTGTTCGTTGTTCGAGGCTTGGGTTACAGCATCTCCATCATCGTCCTCATATGTTATATAAGTGCCATAGCCATGAGGCCGTAAGTAAATACTTTGAAACGTCCTTACAATAAGTTAAGTAAAACAAAAATGCGCACATTTTTCAAAATATGTCACCTACATTAGTTAGTCCTGCGAAGACGTTTGGCGGACTCAAGACTTTCTGCAGGGATTATGTGTTGTTCAGCCTTTTTGTTCAAATATTTTAGAAACTTTTAAATATTCGGAACATTGCTACATTTCCTATCGATTAATAATAACTGCAGCACAATATTTGTTTTTTATATGGTATAAATAGACTAGGATTTAGAGATATTCTATATTTTCAGAGTGCAGACGAAGCAAAGTTACCCAATCCAAGTCCGACTTTTTTGTTTTAAAAATATTTTTAATTCTTTCGTCCCAGAAAATTATGAATCAAGTTTCATAAAATAATTTTTACTACTTTTTATGCTAATAAAAATTTTATTCAGAATTATATTTATATATTTTCATTAAGCATATATGATCAAGTATTTAAAAAAAATCTGTTTATTGAAAATTGTGGTAAAGAATATATGCGTTAATAATACGTATATGTAAACAGCTATGTATATTTTAAAAAGAAAAATTCTGTTTTTCATTTTCAAAACTGATTTTTTGTAATAAATTAACAAATAACGTAACAAATTAAATCTTATCCAAAAACCCATTATCTTAAAAAATAAAAATAATAAAATAAACCTAACTTATTTAGGTTTAGGCGGGTGATCTAAAATGCATTTTAGTGCTGAAATTCACAGTAGTAGAATATGCCTTTTCGGCAGTTGTGTATGAAGATTTATTTAATTTTTATTAATTAAAACTGAAGGTGAGGGACCTGTGTCTGCAGCACGATTAAGAGAATCCGAGGCTGGAGGCAAATCATTCTTTCTGTGGTTGGCATGCTTACTCTACTTGTTTTAAGTAGATAAAAATAAGGCTGTAAGGAGCTAAAGGAGGATTTGGTGGGCCTCTTAACTCCTGGGCCTTAGATTCGGGGCGTACGTGCTTAGACAGTAATCAGGCCATAACCATATCAGTTACTCTCGAAATTAGTACGTTTTATCTGAAATAGCCTTAATTTAACTATTTTCTCTCTAAATTTACACCCTTTAATAGCAATAAGAGAGAAACCATCTGCACAAATAAAACTTAATTACAGATACTTATTCGTTTACCTGGTATATTATGGCGGTGCACATCACTTAGAATATCCATCTTAATATAAATGAATTTTGAAAGCCATTCACATGCAACAATTTAACATAAAATTTTTTTTCAGTACTGTATTTTGGTTAATTAATCATTTATAATGAATCTTGAAATTCTGCTTTTTTCAGATCATTACATGATCAATTTCATATCATCCGTTTGAACTTATCCATTGCTGCTGTGGGAACCATGTTGTCTTTCTTCTCCGTTGACTTCAAGAGACATGATTGGGTAAGAGTATTTCGGTTAACAAATTTTAAGATCGAGAAAACTTTTCTAATTATTCTTATAAGAAATCTAGAAGCCATATTTTTTCTTAACCATGCTTTTAATATAACGTTTAAGAGAGAATTCAAGAATATATTTTAAGTTGCTTTTGATATAGTGTTTTAAGATAGAATTCAAGAATATATTTTAAGTGCTAATGGTCTTCTCAAGAACACTAGTAGATTACATTTACTAATATTTCTTAACACTGTCAATGATTTTTCTCTAGATAAGCATAGTATATCCAGAATATCAATCACAGCAATGAGATAAAACTGAAATTTTAAATTACATAAGGCACAGAAAGATTTATGAAATACTTTTCTAGAAAAAAATCTTGGATTTAAATCACATATTTTTTTAATAAAAGCATGATCCAAGTAGATAGTGTTTTTTTTTTTTTTTTTTTTTTTTTTTTTTTTTTTTTTTTTCTGTAATTTCTTTCTATTATGAAGATTAATCAAATAGCACACGAATATAAAACAAATTTAAAGGAAACCTTTTTTAAAATGTTTCATAATAGCTATTATTATTCTTTAAAGGGAATTCAATGGAATGTTACGTCTTTCTAAAATTATGTTCTACTGTTACCAATAAAATATACATATATTACATATTCAATCCACATAAATTATCTTTCTTTTATCATAAATAAATTTCAACATTCGGCACTAATGTTCAATATTTTTTCTTATTTTAAGCATACCTGAATAAGTTTAGAGTAAAGTATTCATAAACTAATTCAATTAGTAATAAAGCGTAATAGATCAGAACACAAGTTTAAACTATCAAAAGTAGAACCTAGTTAGATCTTCTCACTTAGTAATTTCGAATATGCAAAACAGGTTCCCATTTTCATTATGCTACTGATAGCATTATTCTGTAGCAAGGGGAAGCGTCTGAAATTTAAATAAAAGTCTTATAGACAATAATCAATGAAGGAGATTGCACTCATATTAATAACATTCTAACAGACAGTATAATAAGTGATATTATACGGGACATTATACACAGCTGATTTTTCTGAATATAACATGCTACAAATAGGAAAGGTGCAACTAAATACTCAGGTATATGTATAAAAAAATTGAGAAAAGCAGCTTGTGAAGCAATGTTACTGTATGACAAAGATAAGGATGTGACAATTATACTGGGTTCAAAAGAGTCAAATTTCAAGTTTTTATATTGTATTTTAATTTCTTGTTTTCTGTCTCAATAATTCGTACAATTTAGATGGTTACACAAATCTCAGTTAAAGTAGCATTAAATATATGAATTTTTTAACTGTAATTAATGCTGAAGCATAGCGAGATTAATTTACTTTTAAAGAAGGTTTCCATCATTACTGGGAATGTGTTTTGGCGTTTCCAACGAACCGTGACTCTGACATCTGTTTTGATGAGCAAGAGAATGTTTAACTTTGAAAGAAAAAAAGGTTTCCAAGTACCCTTTCCTTTCAAATAAAATAATAATTGAGTACTAGATATAATTGTGAACAGTTAGGGGCTCAGTGCTAACAGTTGTATATTTCCACAAAAAATTTCACATTTACCTTATTTCAAGTTCGACCGCAAATTAGGTTTAAATAACCTTTTGAATTTTGTTAATTTAATTGTGCAATAAGTTCTGTATTCTTATGCTGACGACAACTCGCCTGAACACTTATTTATGTAGATAGGAAAGATTTAAAAAAATCTCATCAAGCAGATTTTTTAATTCACAGATAGATGAACTTGATGCTGAGTATGGAACTTAAATGGTACCTTGTGAAATTAGTAAATGTACATTGTGAAATTAGTAAATCCACAAACGAAACTGACGAAGAACTTAATGGTCATAACTGGTTATTTGATTTAGCCTTGATTAGAAATATAAAAACCAAAATAAATATATCTTGAACTTTAGGACAAAGAGGAAATTATTATTGAGTTATTAGGAAATATAAGCGCATTTAAATCAAAACTACATCTGTGGAAATCTCAAATAAAGGAATGAAATTTTTACCACTTTGCGAATTTCCAGAATTTCGTCAAGAGATATACGCAAATTGAAACAATTAAATATTCTGAAAATCTCATCGAGCTCAAATATAATTTCTAAATTAGATTTTGTGATTTTCCTAAAACTCAGCCCATTGCTTCCTTCATTCCAAATTAATTTTTTGATAATAATATTTCTGAAATATCACAACAAATTGCAAATATGTAAATATCTGATCTACAATTAAAAACAAGAATATCAGAAAAAGATTTTTTGGGTAGTCTTAGAGGGAAATAAAACGTTTAAAGAGCAGTAAAGGAAACTTCTCAAGAGTTAAACCCCTCTTTGGATTAAATTACATTTGCGAAAATGCTTTTTTATCAATGAACTTGTTGAAATTCAGATCCAGGATAACAAACGAACGTATGAATGATTACATGAATTTAGCCAAAATCGTATATACCAAAAACACGCAGAAGACATGTAGTATCAGGTTTAGCATTAAAATTTGCTTTTCCTGTAATTAATTTGCTCCTATTGAATTTTTAATTAATAGATAAGATTAATAATTCTATTAATTTTTAATTAATAGAATTTTTAATTAATAATAAAGAATAAATAATTAAATTTTTTCCTTGACATATTATGCCACACAATTTTATTATTTGTGGATTATATATAACGTATATAATCCACAAATTATAAAATAATAATATAATACACAGGGTGATTTAAATAAAGTTGCGATTTCAAAACGCTCAAACTTTAAAACTACAGGTCGGAATGACTTGATATTTTACCAGAACGATCGTGAGGCAATGGAATTTTGTTTGGTGAAGAAAAAAAATAGTTCCAAATTGTGCCGATAGATGTTGTCAGGGTACAAATGGCTGTTGTGAAGGTATGTACATTCCTAAGACTTCATATGCGCATCACAGACTGTGGTAAAAATGCAGAACACTAGCGGAACACGTAAGGATTTGCCTGAATGCTTCATCATGGCTGACAAAGAAGAATCGCGCCCTGCTCGTAAAGCTTTTCTATCAGAACGGTGACTCTGCGTTAAACAGCTATCAGGAAGTTCTGGACATTAAAAGGCATAAAATCCGATCCCATACCCATATACGGTATGATAATCACTACGGAAAATGATAGATAATTCAAACAGACCGGTTTATTTGAGGTGAAAAGGGGCAGAGAACGAAAACCAGTTATGGAGGCGGCAATTAAAGATGTGGCCACAACGTTACAAGAATCGACGAACTGTGATGCAGGAATCAGCAGTGCACGGGGAATTGGACGGAAGTTGGATACGCCTATCCGTTTTTGTCAAGCTGTATGAAGCATTTTTGCTTAACCCTGTCCTTCTGGCAATTCAGCAGCGTCAGTGTGTGGATCGCACAATATTCATGCAAGATGGCTCTCCTCCGGACATTGCTGGTTATGTGAAGCAATTCCTGATCGTTCATAAAATCATAAACCGCCATTTTCGAACAGGATGGCTGCCACGTTCACCCGACTCAACCCGTGTGACTTTTGGCTCCGGGAATACCTGAAGAATGTTGTTTACAATGGGTGGATTGGGAATCTGGGGGACTTGAAGGCAAGCATGACGCACCACATTCATAGCATCAGCACAGACATCCTCTGAACTGTTGTGGAACATGTTTCCGAACTGTTTTGCGCTTCCAACTAATAAGGCGGAGGCCAACAAGGAGGAGGCCATATCAAACAACTTCTGCGTTAATCATCCGTAAGGTGTTTGTTTCATGAAGCTCCTCTTTTTCTTTTATCACTGTTATTGTTTTCTCTCTACACACGTATTCTTTAAACTGTTCGCCTTCCCAAAACCCTTAGTGTCTATTATTTCCTTTTGGCTAACAACATTCGTGTGTTTAACGATTAGGCCTTATCCCTGATAGCACTATCTGTCAGCATATTTTGGAGCTATTTCTTTTCCTTCGCCAAACAAAATTCTATTGTCTCACGATTGTTCTGGTAAAATATCAAGTCATTCTGACCGGTAGTTTTAAAGCATTTTGAAATCACAACTTTAATTATAATCACCCTGTATATAATTGAAACATTAAAAGTGCAATACACAATACGTATGTAATTGCAATTCGTATAAATAAAATACATAAAATGCAATACGTATATAATTTAAAAATTAAATGCGCAATACACAATTGTTGCTCACAACTTTTTTTAAAAATTCCAAATTGGCTTGCATCACGTTAACGGTTGGGCAGTACTGACCCATGATTATGATTTGTACACTGCTCAAAAAAAAAAAAAAAAAAAAAAAAAAAAGGGGGGGGGCAGTTTTATATCTCCCGTTTTACTGTGCCGATTGACAAAATTCAAATTGCGTTCTTCATGTCTCGAAAGCGCGACTTAGGATATATATTAGATTTATATGTAGCACTATTCTAACATAGGTATTTTGACACAAAATTGGACTTTTTCTGAAATAACATACCAATTTTTTTTTTTACATATTTCGATTCTACAACTCAAATTACGCCTAAATATGAAATTTTGTAAAATTTGGAGCGAAATTTACGGAGAAATTCACAAATTTATGTTGGCACTTTTTTTTCAGTTGCGCCAAGAATAGTTCACTTGGCGAACTGCTTAATATATGGCAACCTAGTTTCCTTTCCCAGGAGAGGAAAAAAAAGTCATCGTCGTTCCTTTTTTCCAAATCATATTCTTTATATTATATTTTTCATTATAACTGTTATTATTTTAAGTAATTTTTTCTTTTTCGAATTTCATTTTAATTGTTTAAGTTGCATGGTTTTTTTCGAACAAGTGTTTTAAAAATTTCTGTTTACCTATTCGAAATGCGTAAAGGTGCAGCGTTTATTTTTTTTTCAAATAGTTTTCTTTATATATATATTTTTTGTCATAGTTATTATTTTTAAGTAATTTTTAATTTTATTTTTATACTTTTATTATTTGTGTTGCATGTCTCTTCA